TAATTTGCATTCCCTAATGACTGATTATGCTGAACATCTTTCCATAAGCTAGTCATCTGTATATCTTCTTTGAAAAATGTCTATTCAAGTCATTTATTCATTTTTAAATTGGGCTGTCTTTTTGTTGCTGAATTGTAGGAGTTCTTTATATACTCTGGATACTAGACCCTTATCAGATACACGATTTGCAAATATTATCTCCCATTTTGTAGGATGTCTTTTCATTTTCTTCATAGTGTCCTTTGATGTACAAAGATAATCTTAATGAAGTGCAAAATACCTTATTTTTTGGTTACTGTTGTTTCTCATGCTTTTGGTGTCATAGCTAAGTATCTTTTGCCTAATCTAAGGTCATGAGGCTTTTTCCTATGCTTTTTTTCTAAGAGTCTTATAGTTGTAGCTCTTACCTGTAGGTTAGGTTGTTGATTCAGTTTGAGCTGATTTTTCTGTATGGTGTGAGGTAGGGTCCAACTTCATTCTTTTGCAGGTAGATATCCAGTTGTCCCAGCATTATTTGCCAAAGAGACTTTTCTTTCCTAGACTTGGCACCCTTGTTTAAAAACAATTAGCTATAGATGTATGGAGTTTATTTCTTGACTTTTAATTGTATTACATTGGTCTTCATGTATATTCCTATGCCAGTATCACACTGTTTTGATTAATATAGCTTTATGATAAATTTTGAAATTGGGAAATTTGACACTTCCAACTTTGTTCTTCTTTTTCAATATCATTTTGGCTATTCAAGGCCCCTTGCAAGTCCATGTGAATTGGAGAATTGCCTTTTCCATTTCTTCCCAAAAGGCTGTTGGAATTTTTGCTAGAGATTGTGCTGTATTTGCTAGGGATTGTGCTGTATTTGTAGATTGTGTTGGGTAGTACCAACATCTTAACATTAAACCTTAATAGAGTATACAGAAGAAACATAGCTGCTTTTTGTGGGCTGATATTGTATCCTGAAACTTTCCTGAATTCATATTATTAGCTCAAGTTTGTTTGTTTGCTTTTTGTAGATTTTTTTTTCTAACCCTTTCACTTTCTCTTCTCCTTCTGAGACTCCCAAATGCACACTGGTAAACTTGATGATGTTCCACAGGTCTTGTAGGCTCTGTTCATTTTTCTATGTTCTTTTTTCTTTCTCTTCTACAGACTGAATAATTTCAACAGTTTATCTTCAAGTTCACTATTTCTTCTGCTTACTCAAATCTGTTGAACTTCTCTGGTGAATTTTAAATTTTATCTATTGTAATTTCCAACTCCAGAATTTCTATTTGTTTCCTTTCATAGTTTTTGTCTCTGTTGATATACTCTATTTGTTCATACATTGTTCTCCTGGTATCCTTTCATCCGTGGTTTCCTTTAGCTCTTTGAGCCTATTTAATATAGCTGATTTAAAGTTTTTGTCTGCTAGGTCCAATGTCTCAGCTTCCTCAGGGATGGTTTCTGTCAATTTATTTTTTTCCACTGAATAGGCCATACTTTCCTATTTCTTTGTATGTCTTGTCATTTTTTAACAAAAACTATGCCTTCTGAATATTATAATATGGTAACTCTGTATATCAGATTCTGCCTCCTTCACAGGGTTTGCTGTTGTTGCTTATTTTGGTTCTACTGTTGTCCATTTATTTAATGATTTTTCCAAACTATTTTTGCAATGACTCTCCTCCTTATTGTGTGTGATCACTGAAGTCTCTCTTCTATTATCTCAGTGGTCAGCCAGTGATCTGACAGATTTCCTTAAATGCTGATATTTATGGCAGGAAAAAGGAAATAGAAAGATCAGCTGGCCCCATGACTTGTGGAGATGAAAAGGAAGGGAAGATAAACCTCACCCATGACTGCCTCAGTTGTGGGCTCTCCTGACAAGAGGAACTATGGACTCCTCATAAAATTCTTATAGCATTTTTATAGATGAGTCTAATTAGGCCTATAGAGATGTAAGGCCACATAGTTAAAGAACTAGACCCAAAACCTAGTTTCCTCTCTAAAATCCAGGCCTTTTCTGTTATAATATCTTGTATCTGTTTGTTCTACAGTATTTGATTATTAAATCTGAATGTGGCATGAGTTATCCCACTGATGACCAGAATTGAATAGGCTTATATGACTGGGTAAGCCAGCTTCTTTCCCCTTACCTCTTCTTCTACTTCCCTTTAGGAACTGCATGCTTGGCCAGAGGCAGCCTTTCCAGAGTGGAGAGCTATTCAGAGACTTAGTTGCTTTCTAAATAGACTTATCTTTTCAGGTCCAAGATTACTTTACATGTTGTTTCAAAGGAGGCTTTTACAAATATGACTAATGCTAATTTATAAAAGGGAATTATAGACTCAAAGGCTTCAGTTTTTGAGAAATAGTCTATTAAGATAACTTGTTCTCATGTTGACATAATGCCTCATCATATTTTATTCTACTGAGAAAGCTTTGACATTTTAAAAAGTTATTTTAAAATTTTTCTAAAAATGTAATTAATTCACAAAAGCTTCAAGTGAAGAACACACACAAAATTAGCCCAGTACCATATGGCAAAACAACTGTAGACACTAAGAACAGCCCAGAAATGGATGGTTTCTGTGCCTCAAAACCTAGGGCTTTTATCAGATCAATACGCTAAAAGAAAGCCATACCTTCTACATACTCAACTATAAATTTAGAACATATGAACAAGAAAGCACTGCTGGCCTGCATCATGGGCATAGATATAATGAATATTCTCTGTGGGGTTCGCATTCCTAAATACATGTTTCTTTATTTTGAGTATCTGCTGGTTTCCAAGAGATTTTCTAAGGCAGAAACCACTGAAGTAATTCAGTGACAAGTTGCCATTGCAACTATAGCTGAGCTAAGGAAAAAAGATGAACTGATCCGTACCACTGAGCAACAGAATGTGACTTTGTTAACCACAGCATCCAGAAAATGGTAAAACCAATGCAGCAACAGAGCAGGAAGATCATTCCACCCTTCTAGAAGCATTCCGGTAAAGTATACTGATATCTGCAGTTTACTTTGAAATGTATAAAAAACGATAGGTGCATAAAGAGATAGGTAGATGAACAGATGTGATAAAATAAGACAGTACAATGTTTATGATAAAATCAAGATGGTGGGCATAAGAGTGTTTGTTGTAAAATTCTTCCATTTTGTTTAGCCGGAAATTTTTCTAATAAAATGTTTGAGGAAAAATATAAAATGGAAAAGCATTCTAATATGGCACACAAATAAGACAAACTTGGGAAAGCAATTTCTTTTTTTTTTCTTTTCTTTTTTTTTTTTTTTAGAGACAGAGTCTCACTCTGTCACCTAGGCTGGAGTGCAGTGATATGATCATAGCTCACTGCAGTCTTGACCTCCTGCATGCTCAAACAATCTCCCTATCTCAGCCTCCTGTAGCTGGGACTACAGGCATATGCTACCATGCCGGCCTAATTTTTTGTATTTCTTTGTAGAGACAGGGTTTCACCATGTTCCCAGGCTAGTCTCGAACTCCTGAACTGAAGCAATCTACTAGCCTTGGCCTCCCAAAGTGCAAAGTGCTGGGATTACAGCCATGAGCCAACATGCCTGGCCTAGTAGTTTAAGGGATTTAAGAACTCCTCCAGTCTTTAATCACTGGGTCTATCTCTTCAATGTATATTAGGCTTGTGGCAGATAAATGAATTCTTTCTAGGAAAGTTTCTGTGAGACCATCAATAGTTATAATGATGTATCTAGGCTTAAAAATAAAATTTAGGGGCTGGGTACAGTGGCTCATGCCTATAATCCCCCCACTCTGGGAGGCTAAGGTGAGAAGATTGCTTGAGCCCAGTAGTTCAAGGTGAGCCTGGGCAACATGGCAAAACCCCGTCTCTACAAAAAATACAAAAATTAGCTGGGTGTGGTAGCATGTGCCTGTAGTCCGAGCCTGAGGTGGGAGGATAGCTTGAGTCCAAGAGGTGGAGGCTGTATTAAGCTGTGATTATGCCACTGTACTCTGCGGGTGGGAAAAACCCAACCACAAAAAAAAAACCTTACTTTTTTTCAACTAAGGCAAAGAGTAAACCTTCAAAAAACAAAGAAAAATGCATTAAGTCTAACAGATCTGTCCAGTCAAACGCAAATATAAACAGCTGCAGCTAGGGGAAAGAGAGGATAGGGAAGTGGGGGCTCTAACTGGATTTTGACTACCGCATATTTATTCATGGAAAAGAACTGTGAATCATTTAAAAAGAAGTCAGCCACAGGACTGGCAGAAGAAAGTGTGTGTAACACAGCCAAAGTCTTGTGCAAATAAAAGCAGAGATGCATTTCCTCACATTCTTCTATAATGACTATAAAGTCTAGCCTGTAAGGACCTCTGTTCCTTAATTTGGGGCTTGTTTTTGGGGTTCACACCATGCATGCTATTCTCCATGTAAAACAGGGAAAACACATGTGCTTCAGACAAAACCTGGTATCACATTAGCACCAAACATAAGGCAAAACACACACTTACTTTTTCTTAATACTTAAACCATGGTAGAAGCTCGTTTTTCTACTGAGTTTCTAGAAGGGCTCATTCTTCCATTTATAAGAGTCAAGTCTGTTTATTCTTGGTGCTCAGGAATGGGACTAGAGTAGGCAGTTATTCCTATCCCAGGAAATAAATTTTTGAAGAATATAAAGCAATTTGAATCAGGTCCTAAAACACAGTCTAAAGATAATGGTCTGAAAAATGTTCATTCTAGATAAATTCTGTTAAGAAAATGAGAATAAATAAAGCAGAATCACTTTTTTGGGTGAGCAGGGAAACACACAGCAAGGAGGGTAAAACTGTAGATTCAGAGTCAGGCTGCCTCAGTTTGTATCCTATCTCTGTGCAAGCTTAGGCTAGTTGTTTATGTCATTGATATCTCAGCTTCTTCATGTTTAAAATAGGGTTAATGATACTGTGTAGACAGAATGAGTTAATACATGTAATATGCTTAAGACAGTGGCTGTTAACTGTGTTAGCTGTTATCACCATCCATATCATGAAGCGAACAGAGACATCCAGTGTAATCATAATCGCCCCCTCCCACATACATTTATTTAAAACAAAACTAAACAAAAAGGATACCAAAACACATTGGCCCTTTCTGGGCCATCTTTCCTTTGATGCTGCTTCTTCACTTCCATTCTTCCTTTTACCACCCAACTTTTGGAAAGAACCATGTTTGCAATTTTCACTTTCATAGCAATAATTTATAGCCTGGCCTCCATCCAAAATACTCTGCTCTAATTGTTTTGGTTAAAGCCACTAAAGACTTTCTGTTAAATCAAATTATTTATTTTCACTCTTTATGCTTCTTACTCACTTTTTAGTATTTCACACTGTTTACGCATCCCTACTTTTTGAAATAGTCTCCTTTCTTGGGTTTAATCATGACAACACTTTCTTCTAGCTCTTGTCTTCTACTCCTGATACAGCCTCAATGAGTCCTGCTTTCTGCCCATTTTTAAAATACTGCCAATCCTAGGTTCTATATTTTAATGATTTTTTTTTCCTTCTCAATCTCAAAGGAATAGACTAGTGGCTTTCATAATAATGTAAGTGGTAATAGTGCCCAAGTTTATATTCTATTCTAGACTCATTCCTGTACAGCACTTCAGACAACTTAGAAGAGTTATCTACTTGGATATCCAATAGAAATCTAAAACTTAAAATGTTTAAAACTAAATTTATCTCTCTTACCTTAATCTATTCTTTCTCTTCCATTTGTTATCACAGTTAATGAAATATCACCATCTGTCTGGTCTTCCAAGATAGAAAGGTGAGACTTACCCATAATTTCTTCTTCCTTAATCATTACAACTAATTTGTCACAGGTGTTAACGATTATTTTTGAGGAACATCTCTTACATAAAATAACTTTCCTTTTTTCCCATTCCACTGCGATTTATAGTGCTATAACCTTGGAGTGGTTGCTGGTTCACTCTAAGCCTCAGTTTTGTCATCTGTAGAATGAGGATATAAGAGCATTTATCTGATAAGGTTAAATGAGAAAATGCATGTTAAGTCCTTAGCTCAGAACCTAATGAATTCTCAGTGAAATGACAGCTATATAATTTAGGTTCTCAAGATGTTCTGCTTTTATTTTAATGAATAATCTTGCATCTCTCACATTCCTTTTGTATAAAGCCACCAAATATCTGTATCTGACATGATGATGTACACCCCTACACTGCTACCCTTGTATCTCATTAACTCACCTCACCATAATCACCCAACCTAGTAATGTGCCACTACAGTTCTTGTCACAGGGTATGTATATTTAATAATGTTTAGTAAACAAATTTGTGAATAAAGCTAATATGGTTTCCACTCTCAACAGCAGAGAAATGTGTATAGACTTGGTTTGGGTAGAACACGAAGGCTAGGGGAAGACAGTTAAGGGTGCAAATCTAGCCTTTGAAAATCACTGCTCTGTATGGTAATAATAAAAGAAAATGAATCATTTGTTTGCCATCTTTCAGGAATACATTTCCTGTTTAAAGGCTACTGTCCTAAACAAAAGACCATTAAATAACAAGAGGGGGAAGAAAAATAATTTTCCAAGCTCTGTGCATGTCACAGATAAGACCTGGATACTAGCCAAGGCACTGTTAATTAGTGAGTAGTATTTCCTATAGGCAGCTGGGGGAAGGAGAAAAATGCTTCAGAATTAGTATTTAGAGAGGACAGTATGAATTTTTTTTTAAAGATTCACTTTCCTTTAGAAAAGTTATTGAGAAGGCTGGATCCACATCCATCCATTTGGTAACTAAAGTCTTGCTAATGCTGCGGAGTTTATTGTTATGTAAACAATGACTCATTTAATTCTTCATTATTTTAAGTACAATATGCACCAAATATCTCTATGTGACATGATGATGTCCACCCCTACACTGCTTACAGAGAACCTAATTCTAACTACCAAGACAGTTACTTTCTAATGAGATATTGGTTTATGTTTTGGTCTATTTCATCTATAATATTCTTTTTAAAAATTTGACATGAATTTCCGTTTTTGGCCAACATGGAGTAACCGGGTCTAGATTAACCCTCGCACCTAAAACAATAAACAAAACAAACCCTTACACAAAATACATGAAACAATAGGTTTTAAGACAGTAGACATAAGGCAATGAAAAAGTGATTCCTAAGAGATGGAAAGCAAATGAGGCAAATCCTGTGACTGCCTACTTCTTGCTCTGCAACCATGTCCAGGCTATAATGTAAGGAGGGAGATTTCCAGTTTCCAGTTTCACATGTGAGGAGCTTGGAAGTCTCCATTTCATCCTAACAACAAGTAAAAACCTGAACAGACCAAAAAATCAACAATTCTTCCAGGATCCGTAAGAGGTGAGGGCACAGGGCGAACCACTGAGTATAGTCAGGGAGTCACAGCTTACCAGAGTAGAAAATGCAGTGGGAACCAGAGCCAGGGTAGGAAAACCTGACTTGCTATTGACAAATTGCTGGAGGCTCCATGTGAAGAAGTCTGAGAGTTAACAACTCCAAGCGCACTCAGGGATGGGGTCTGCCACCATTTTGTGTGACTTACCTCTAGAAGCCAAGCCAGGTTTTCATAGTAAATACTGAAGAAAAATCCCCTTAAGCTTCTGGCAGAAGGAAAAAAGTAGGCATTTTGAAATATGCCATAGAATAATGCTCTTAACAAGGCCTGCCTCAGGGGAACCTAGCTCACCAGAGCCCAACCTGCTGGAGTACTATCAGTGCCTAACTGAAGGGAAGCAAGCAACTCCAGTCAGCTCCAGCATTCTATGCTGGAGAAGGGAAATATTCAACTTTGTGCTTTCCAAGAAATTTGTTATTTTCATCTAAGTTGTTGCAGTTATTGGCATTTATAATTTTTTTTTATTATGCTTTCGATGTCAGTAGAATGTGTAGTGCTATCTCCTCTTTCATTCCTGATATTAGTAATTTTTGTGTTTTCTCCCATTTTTCTTAAGCAATATTAAGATTCATAAATTTTATTTATGGGGTTTATAAATTTTGCTTGTTTTTCAAATAACTAATTTTGGCTATTATTGCTAATGTTTGTCTATTTCCTACTCTACTGATTTCTGCTCTTTATTATAATATTTCCTTCTTTTTTATTAACATTCTTGGATATAGTAGTTTCTCAGGGCTGCCATAACAAATTACCACAAACTTTGTGGCTTAAAACGACCAAATTTTATTTTCTCACAGTTCTGGGGGCTAGAAGTCCAAAATCAAGGTGTCCCCAGGTCCATGCTCCCTCTGAGGCTCAAGGAGGTTTTTTCCTTTCCTAGTTTCTGGTGGCTCCAAGCAATTCGTGGTGTTCTTTGGCTTACAGCTGCATCCCTCCAACTTCTGCCTCCAAACTGACATGGCCGTCTTCCTTATGTACCTCTGTGTGACTTCTTTTCTTTTTAAAAAGATACCAGTCATTGGATTTAGGGCTTATCCTAATCTAGCATGATCGCATTTTAACTTAATTACACCTGCAAGGCCTTATTTCCAAAAAGGTCATGTTCTTAGAGTCTGGATGGACATGAATTTTTGGGATACATTATCTGATTACACTGGGTTTAACAGATACATTTTAGAACCTCTGGATTCTGTTATATTCCTCTCAAGTATGCTGATTTTTGTTCCCGTTAACTTAGTTGGGTCAAATTCTCCTTGGTGATAATAAGCAGCTGAAATACCTAAGTTATTTCAGCTTCTGGGCGCTTCTTTATTTGCAGAGTGTATTAGGACTTCTTTTATACATATATGGTTCAGTAGTCAGCCAAGGATTTGGGGCAGGATTTACACACACATTTTGGGATCCACCGCCTCTGCAGCTCCCTTTCTTTTAGAATTTCCTTGCTAAATTTCCAGGGTTCTGCCAGCTTTGGGATTCTGTCCTTTGATACTTCAAGTAAGTAAAGCTGTGGCTTTCTGCCACCTGAAGCCATCCACAGATTGGAAAGAGTCCTTAAGCAGAATGCCACCAACTTGAAAATACACTGGTTTTGGTCCCTATATTCCAAATGTAAACGCACTTCCCACTTCCATCTGCTTTTTGCCACTCTCCAGTGCCTTCAAATAGTTCTTTTTTGTACTTTGTTCATATTTTATAACTGTTATCCATGGAAGGTTTAGTCCAACCCAGAAATTCTTCTATTAACAAAAGCTGGAATTCAGACATGTTTTTATTATGGCTTTAAAATGCTTTAGTAAAGTGCACATTCATTTGTCAGGGCATAGGTGCCAGATAATGATTTTATCTCATTAGCTCTGATAGGAATATTTTTAGCTTAAAAATCTTCAGCAACTAGTTCTTACAGTACAGCCAGTACAGCTACCTATTTAGGTAGGTGTTAGCCAAGGTTAAAAGACCTACTGAAGTTCCAGCAGCATTCAGCAGAGCAACATGTCCCTATAGATCAGTATTACATAAAATCTACTTAGCAATTTTTCTAATCTTATCAGATTTCTGCTAATAAAGAGAAGCAGACAAAGAAGTAACAGAGGCATTTAAACAAGCCTTTTTTAGTTAAAAGAAAGAAGGGAGAAAACAAGAACAAAAGAGACTAAGCGAGGAGATAGATATTTTCATCATATCTTAGTAATTAATTACCACAAAGAATGGTGGGAAGGACTCTCAAAAAAGCAACTCTTAAAAAGAGGAGGGAAAGGAACAACCTTCACTATTAGCAGACATGATATTTACTTGGCAGCCTAGACTCTATTCTATATAGAGATTAGATCTATACCTAAACTGATTTTTTTTAAAATAGGTTTTACTTTTTCATCCAACAATTAAAAAAACATATTTGGAATTTAGTTTTTATTTTAATGATTTAGACTGAAAAGTACATTTCATCCTGAGGTTTAGCAAGTCTTTGAAATTTGAGAGTGTAACAGAGAATCGTGGAGTGGGTAAAAGAGAAATGAACTAAGTTAGATTTCGATTCTAGTTCAGGTTTATTATTATATGACCCTGGGCAAGTGGAATTAGCTGCTTTTGGAGGCAGTTTCATTAAATGTGAAACAGAGGACTTGGATGAAATCTTTAAGATTCTTAGTTCCAAAAAAAACTTTACAAGAATCAGATTTTGAACATATAATTGATACTGACTACGAACTAACAATAACTTAAATGTTATTTCCCTTGCTCCCTCACAGAATCCCTTTGCCATTTCATTTCCCCCGACTTCCCTATAATCTTCTGTAAAAAAGGATCAATGAAGTCAGGCATGTTTCTGAAATCTCTAGAGCTGAAGATTCTCAATCTAAGACCTTTCTAGAACTTAATCTAAAACCTTTATCTGACTCTAAGACATGGGGAAAAACAGTTAAAAATGGGGGGACTCCTTGGAAACAATAAGTTTATTTTTGAAAACACTATGTTTCTTCTTAAGGTGTCCTTTCTGTATAGTGCTCACCAATGAGGACTGCTGTACCCAGTCTAAGACTTTCAGTCCTTTGAAAACATTATGTGATAAGACATGTGCTATATAAAAGCATGAGGTTTCATAAGTTTAGTATTTCCCAGCAGGACTTAGAGCTTTTTCCTTTTACTAGATCAGCTCCATTTTCTAAATATCTTAATTTATCTCTCCTTTGGGTCACAATCCTGTTTCTCATTTATAGCCACTGGGATTATTTAACCACAGGCATTATATCATGGTAGGTTATGTGCTCAGACATATCAGTGTGCGACCTTTTGCAAATCACTTAACTCCTCTCTCCATCTCGATTTCTTACTCTGTAGAAGGGGATACAAACACTTCATGGGGCTGTCATGATAATGTAGTCATCAGCATGAAACCTGGTACACAGCAAATGCTCGGTAAATACTAGTGATGATCATGCTTTCATCCTGTCCTTCCCATTCTTGATGACGAACTCTGTTCATGTCGTTTCACTTTACACATTTCTCAATCACTTTCAGGAGTCTTGGCAGCATCATCACCTTCACATTTCAGCACCGTCTGTTGCCTACTCCTGATGTTTGTTCTTCCATAAGGGGACAGGCTAATTCAAACACAAATCTACCCTCTTAAATCTTTAAGTGAATAGAACAGCATGGTTAACTATAAGCACAATGTTGTACAGCAGACTTCTAGAGCTTCTTCATCTTTCATGCCTGATACTTTATACCCATTGAACAGCAACTCCCCATTTGCTCCTTCCCCCAGCTCCTGGCAACCACTATTCTACTTTCTATTCTGATGACTACTTTAGATCCTCATATAAGTGGAATCATGTCATATTTGTCCTTTTGTGACTGGCTTACTTCAGTTAGCAGAAAGTTCTCAAGTTTCATTTCTTGATCTATTCATCCTTCAACATTTAGGTGGTTTCTTTCGCTTGGCAATTGTGAATGATGTTGCAATAAACATAGGAGTGCAAATATGTCTTTGCAAACCTGATTTCAGTTCTTTTAGATAAATACCCAGGAGTGGGATTGCTGGACCATAGGGTAGTTCTATTTTAAATATCTGATGAACCTCCATGCTCTTTTCCATAGCAACTGCACCATTTTACATTTCCACAAACAGTGTATGGGGTTGCAATTTCTCTACATTCTCATCAACAATTGTTGTCTGGTTTTTTTTTTTTTTTTAATTAATGGTCATGTTAACAGGCGTGAGGACTATCTCATTATGGTTTTGATTTGCATTTCCCTGACGATTAGTGATATTAAGCATTTTTTCATATATCTATTGGCCATTTGGATGTCTTAAGAAATGTCGATTTAAGCCCTTTGCCCATTTTTAAACATTGTTTTCTTGTTATTGAGTTCTAAGAGTTTCTTATATATTCTGGATATTAACCCCTATTAGATATATGGTTTGAAAATATTTTCTCCTATTCCATAGGTTGCCTTTTCACTCTGTTATTTCTCTTTTTTTTTTTTTCAGGCAGGTCCTCATTCTGTCACCCATGCTGGAGTGTAGTGACACAATCATAGCTCACTGAAGCTGCAACCTTGGACTCAAGTGATCTTCCTGAGTTGGAACTACAGGCATGTACCCTCAGGCCTGGCTAATTTTTAAAGTTTTTGTAAAGACAGGTCTCACTATGTTGCCCAGGCTGGTCTAGAATTCCTGGCCTCAAGTGATCCTCCTGCCTCAGCCTGTCAAAGTGTTGGGAACATAGGAATGATCCACTGTACCCAACCTGTTATCTCTTTTTTAAGTACTAAAAATACTGATGCCAAATACTGATGGCTCGTCTGGCATAGAAATAATTTTAGTCTTTGTGTTGTACTGAATTAATAAAATTCATTAAGCATTGTGTGGGCATGTTCTTATACATTATCTTACTATCTGTGCTCCTTTAGTTCTTTTCCATCACATGTTCTATCTATTTCATTGTCCATCTGGCAGTGCATATTCTTTAAAAATTTTTTTTTAACTTTTCTTAAGTATCAACAGAGATAATTTTAAAGGTAATAAACTGTAACTTGTTTTGTTCAAAATTGCTTTTAAATGTTGCTAATTTCTATTCCTGCACACTAACTGAACAAGGTATAAGATAGAGAAATGACATGATTCTGAGCTGCATTTTAGACTGATTAGATGACAGAAAGACCAGAGAAGCAGAAAAGATAACTAATGTGTCCCTGGCTTAATACCTGGGTGATGAAATAATATGTACAACAAACTCCCATGACACAAGTTTACCTATGTAACAAACCCAGGAACCTAAAATAAAAGTTAAAAAAAAAAAAGAAGACAGAAAAACTATAGAAGGGAGACAAGTTAATTAGCAATACTGAGAATGGAGAGAATGTGAGAAACTCTGTAAGAGCTGAACCCTTAGGGTCTGTTCCTGACTAGATATAGGAGATAATGAAGATGGTGATTCAAAGCTGACTCTAAGATTTAAAGCTCAAGTGAGAGGAAAACTGAGATAGTAGTAAGAAATAGAGGAATCGAAGCTGGTTTGGGTAAATGAATCATGAGGTATCCTTTCTGACCACAGGTCCTGCTGAAATATTCAACAGTGTTTGCCATCTCCAATACCACAGAGTACAGAGTATCTACCACAAGCCAATATACTGCTATTATTGTATTACCGATTGCTTTTAATATTATGTTGTCTACTATATCGTATAGAGTGGTGGTTCAAAGCACAGGCTCTGGAGTTGGCCAGATGTAAACGGAATCCTAGCACTGCCAATTGCAAGACATAGAACCACAAGCAAGTTATTTAATCTAAGTCTCAGTTTCCTTATTACCACTACTTACATCAAAGACTTGTGAGGATTAAATAAGAATACGTTTAAAGCTCTAAACGCTGTGGCCACAAAGAGTAAGAACTCCAGTAAATGTAAGCTATCATTTTTATACAGTGTCTCACTTAACATTTGTCTTAATGTTTTAAAAAGTCCATTGCATTCTATTAATGTGGGGATAAAAAAGGGGGAAGGCTTATTTTACTCTGAAAAAAACCTTACTTTGAATCTTTGAATAACTTGCATATTAAATTTCAGCTTTCTGACATTGGTCTTATGGGAAAACATTTGTTGAGAAAAATCTGGAGTCACTGCTGAGTGCAATTTTCAGAAAGAGAACAAAGATCTTTGGAGAACAGTTAAAAAAAAGAAAGAGAGAGAAAACCCAGTTCTCCCAAAGGTTATTGCTTTTTTACATGCGTCCTCACATTTAATACCTCAAAATATAGGGAAAACATAAAAACAGTAAAGCTTTTAAAATAGGAAATATTTGATAAAATATTTATAACTATGTCAATATAGGTTTTTTTTTTTTTTTTTTTTTTTAGTTTTGCACTCAGATGTTGGCTTTTAAGGTGACATACATTTATTTTTGGGAATATCAAAACTGGCTATTTTAATTAGTTGACATTTAAGATAAAATATTCTAAAGTGAACTCTCATTGATGAAACAGCCTTTCATTTATGATTCTACAAATGAAATAATCTAATTCTTTAATTTTATGAGTATCTGGGGAAGTTATTCCACAACAAACCTTTTATATGCTACAAGATTGAAAAACTTAGATCATTTTACTAAACTACAAAAAATTTTGCGAAGTGTTATCTAAGCAAATTTATTGGCATTATGGTTACTTTAGTAGATCTAGTCACTGTTAGGGAAAATAATAAGATTAATTGGGAAGCTTATTCTTTAAATCTAATGTAGATCAAATCATCAAAATGGCATAGGAGTATGTTATTTTTCTTTACTGCACTTAAGGTATTTAAAAATATTTCCAGTGATACATCTTGCAGAGTTAGATGTCATGATTAGAGTTTTATTCATGTTACTCCACAGTCTTTTTTTAAAGTGAGTATGTGAATATTAGAAGATTAACTGGTTTATAGACTCTTCTCTTCCTCAAAGGCTACTTTTCTCTTGCAGGTCTTGTGAAAAACTTGTCATGTATTAGCTACTGCTAAGGTTTTCAGACTTTAAGACATAATTTACCAAATAAGACTGGTTTATTAGATTTGTGCACATATCTAGAGTGACTTTATTTATTTTTAATTATTATTTTCTTATAGAGTGACTTTAGTAAGTAGAGGTTTGCTTTAAAAAAATCACAACCAAGGCCGGGCGCGGTGGCTCAAGCCTGTAATCCCAGCACTTTGGGAGGCCGAGGCGGGTGGATCACGAGGTCAAGATATCGAGACCATCCTGGTCAACACGGTGAAACCCCGTCTCTACTAAAAATACAAAAAATTAGCTGGGCATGGTGGCACGTGCCTGTAATCCCAGCTACTCAGGAGGCTGAGGCAGGAGAATTGCCTGAACCCAGGAGGCGGAGGTTGCGGTGAGCCGAGATCGCGCCATTGCACTCCAGCCTGGGTAACAAGAGCGAAACTCCGTCTCAAAAAAAAAAAAAAAAAATCACAACCAGACTACTCCAAAAAGCATAGGCTAGTATCTAGCAGACATTCAAAGACATTTTCAGACTTTCAGGTACTCTGCAGAAGCTGGATGGGGTGAGAGGGACAACCTCATACAACTAAAACTTATAATCTACCCATGTAATATTTACTACAGGAAGTTATGTGCATGCAAACTTATCCTTGGATTTTGAATCTACTTAAGAAGAAAATTTAATCTTACTTGTAGAGATGCAATAATGAACAATGAGGTAGAAAAGACTGACGGAAATATTCTCTTGTAAATGTGAAAGCCAGCCAGGCAACGATCAAGATGACTAAGCAACCTAGGGATGTGTGACTCAGTAGGCTAATGTAAGAAGAGCATTTAGCTTCATGACATGCATCTTAGTCATCTTTATAAAGGATTCATTGTTTCAAAAGAGTATGGGACTCATAAATGGCGTCAAGTATGGATTTTATAAAAATGAAATTTATTGCTTTGATAAAACCAAGTTAACTGTGGCAGGGCCAATTTCACATAAATTCTGCCAATGAATCAGACTATCATTTGTACATACGCCCTCCAACCTAGTGTCTATTAAAGTAGCTAATAACTAAACACAAAGCCTCTGAATGGCCTTTTATGTAATGAGATTTAGTAAAAGTTCTAAGGAAACCAGCATATATTGAGAAATGAAGTTTTAATTAACGATGTATAACTTCTTCAAGTAGAAGAGTATGGATATAATTTAAGACCAGGTGGGTTAGGGTCTCAACATTAATTTACCCTAAGTAGCTACCATTCAAAGTCACTATGCTAGAATTTGCTTTGTATATTTTAACTCCTCCTGGTTCTCTTTATATATCCCATTATAAGATTTATTAAATTTATCCATAAAAATAAACTATTTCTTCCTTCCTTGTAATAGGCAGCAAACTTAGTTTCTATCCTTCTCTGTGGAATAAAAGCTTCCATTAAGATGATCAGAAAGAGTGGACATTTTCAGGTGGGTAATTTCTAGCATAACTCCACATTAATATAATGGTGATTAAATTAAAAAATATGAACGCCAAAATAATTAAAAAAAATTTTTTTTGAGACTGTTTCTCAGGCTGGAGTGCAGTGGTGTGATATGGGCTCACTGCAACCTCTGCCTCCTGGGTTCAAGCGATTCTTATGCCTCAGCCTCCTGAGTAGCTGGGACTATGAGCCTGTGCCATCATGACTGGCTAATTTTTATATTTTTTAAGTAGAGATGGGATTGTACCATGTTGCCCAGGGTGGTCTCAAACTCCTGACCTCAGGTGATCTGTCTACCTCAGCCTCCCAAAGTGCTGGGATTACAGGCATGGGCTACCGCACCCAGCTTAATTTTAAAATTTTAAGTTAAAAACTTTATTTGTTAAATTAATTCAAATTAATATCTATCAAAGACCTTAGGCTTTGGGGGTAGAAAAGGCGCTTGTGGTAGGTTAGCTAGCTATATAACGTGTCCTAGTACACAATCTATGACTTTTATCATTAGCATTCAAGCTCTTGGATGGTTGACGGTTAGGAATCTACTAACTTGCTGTAAGGAAACCTTGGCCAGTAGACTCACATGATCTCTCCCTTGTTGGGATGGGTTTCTGGAAACATCAATTTTAGTAGAACATTTGTTCAAAACAGCTGTTTTGAAGAATTAAAAAAAAAACAACTTTTTACTAATGAAGCAATATTGATGTCAATATCTCTGCTTCAGCAGTCAAAAGACCATTATTATCAAACAACTGCAGTTACTATAAGGCAACTGTTAAATTAATTATGTGTGTACTCTTAAACCATGTTCATGCATAACATATAACCAGCTCTCAAACTACATATTTTTGCATTTCTGTAAACAAATTATATGGACCTTGAGATATAAAGCTTATCTTCAATTACAACGACATTCTCTAAACTAGTGGTTTTAAAAGTGTGATCTGCAAAATCACCTGGAAGGTTTGTTAAGACATGGCTTGCCAGCCCCTCTCTCAGAATTTCTGATTCAGTAGGTGTGAAATGGGGTTAAAGAATCTGCATTTCTGAAAACTTTAAGTCCACTCCTGCTGGTCCCATGACCACACAGTGAGAGCCACCGAGCTCCTCTACTGCAGTAGTCTCAGTGAGAGGTAGTATTGAAGGGGGTGAAAAGTCGTTGGATTTGGAAGTCCTCTGGAGGGGTACAGCCAACAAAACAACTTTTTAAATATCATGATCCTAAAATAAAATAAAAGTGTCATCTGGGGATCCCTAGATTCTTGAGATGTTCTTGGAGTTTGCAAAGTCAAAACTGTATTTATAGTACTAAGAGGTTATTTGCCTCTTCCTACTATCATTCTTTCACAAGAGTACAGTGGAATTTTCCATAGCTTACATGACTTTAACATGTAATGGCTCTATCATTTATAAAAAAATGAATAAATGAATATTTCAATAATCCCTATTATTTTAAAATATCTATTTTAAACAAAGAGTAATATTTAACATATTAGTTTTCATTTCTAATATGATAATATCAATTTATCCCATATAAGTAAAATTTCAATTTTTTCTTTTTTTAAATGAGACAGGGTCTCATGCTATCACCCAGACTGAAGCATAGGAGAGCAATCATGGCTCATGGCTCACTGCAGCTTTGGTCTCCCAGGCTCAAGTGATCCTCCCACCTCTGCCTCCTGAGTAGCTAGGACTACAGGTGCACACCACCATGGATGGTTAATTTTCAAACTTTTTTTGTAGAGATGGGGTCTTGCTATGTTGCCTAGCACAACTGTCTCTGCTAAGCTTCTG